ATGAAATGCTGTATCTTTGTTGATTAAATTAGTATTGATAAATGCTAAGTAGATAATTCTTTTATAGCAGATAATTCAGATCATGTGAGGTATTAGTACTGCTTTAGCCTTAGTAAGACCACACTTAGAATACTGCTTCCAGTTTTGGTCACCATATTATAAAAAAAGATGCTGAGCCTCTATAGAGTTCAGAAAACAGCAACAAACATGATTACTGGGCTGAAGGTGAAAACATGAAGATCAGTTGTAGGAATTGGGTATGTCTAATTTAGTGAAAAGGACTAGTGCTGACATAACAATGTTCCAATATTTGAAGGGCTACCATAAGGAAGAGGGTGTATTCCCAAAAGCACCATAAGGCAACCAGAAGAGGGGGTATTCTCAAAAGCACCAGAAGGCAAAACAAGAAACAGTGGAAACAGGGAAATTAATGAAGGAGAGAAGCAACCTAAAATTAAGGAGAAATTTCCTAACGCTGAGAACAATTAACTAGTAGCTTGCCTTGTGGGTGCTCCATTACTGGAGGGCTTTTAGAAGAGACTGGACAGCCACTTGTCTGGAATAGTATAGGGTCTCCTGCTTGAGCAGAGGGTTGGACTAGACGACCTCCAAGATCCCTTCCAACTTTATTTGTTTTTGTGTTATCCTAACTATAAAATCATTTCTGTAGATTTACTTATAGGCCTTTTTATTGTTTTGCATTGCTCTTAGTTTTATTTATTTATTTATTAAATTTATATGCTGCCAATCTCACTCTGGAAAATGATTTTTGAGTGGCTTTTATTATTTGTCATGCTGAGTATTTATATGTGGTGGGATTCACTTAACTTCGCTACCGATTTGCAAATGTGAGTGCGCTTGCACGTGCCAGATTCTGCACATGCACAGATCTCATATTATGTCGGGGCAGGTGGGTGAGGTCTCCAGCAGCAGCCACTACCAGTTTAAGCTGCATACCACTTCTGATATATATGTATACTAAAAAAGGGAAACTGTTCTATAGAAATTGATTAATTTAGAAATGGAAGAATCAGAAATAGTGCTTCTCAACTAAATTTGAATATAAAACTAATGTTCATGGTGCAACCAGAACATATAAAAGTTGACTTTTTTCTTTTTTGTATTATTTGAAAAAAACCTTCTATTGAGTGATAGTTACCATTATATGGATATTTTTACATTAACAATAGAGATATATATAAAAGGCTATATACAGTCTTCCAGATGATGAATTCCAGCCATAAATCAGTCAGTTACATCTAAATAACTCATTAAAATTTCTGCATGTTATTTCTATATAGTACTTCTATCTATACCAGGGCTGTCAAACCATGGCCCATGGGTCGGATACGTCACGTGCTGGCCACGCCCATGCCCAGTTTAGCGAGGGGGGAAAAAGTCCCGATATGTCATGTGACACGAGTTTGACACTCCTAATCTATATAGTATAAACAAGAAAAATGATTCTTAACCAATTAGTTATGATTATAACCAATATACTCAGGAATGTTGAAAAATCTAATTTGCAAAAGAAATGTGTTAAATTCACATAATTCTTAGTGCAAATTGTCTTATATATAATTTCACTCTCAATAAGATATATACTTATATTTCCTTTTTATGTTACTCTATTCCATATAAGTTGTAGCTTGGAAGCAGACTGGAATGTTTAATGCTGTCATTATTATAAAATGTTCTTTTTAAGAATCAATATATATTACAACTTTGAAGTAAATTTTAATATAAGGGTGGGTAACTTAGGATATCCAGAAACACCCTTGTTTTCATTATCACTGGCTATGCTGGATAGCTTTTTTTTTCCTTAACTGGTTTAGCTGTTTTTTAAAAGTGAAATTTACAAAAGTTCTGCCAAGTTTCCTCTTTTAACACAAGCGACAGGAAGAATGATAAAGCAGTAGTGGTTTTTTAAAAACTTTTCTACTGGCCCTCAAAAGACATGACCACAAAAACAAAAGCAATCGACATTTGCTTTTTTAGAATTAGTGGAAAAGAAGCAAGGGCTGTGTTAACTGCAGTCAGGATACACCACCTCCCTATTCTCATCATTAAAGCAGAGGAATGGGTTGAATCCGGGAAAGGGATTTCTTAAGCAGGCTTCATTTCTATTTAGTTCATTCATGGGAAACAAGCATCTTAAAGTTATAGTGCAAAAAAGCCCTCTAGCACTTTCAATCACAACATGGCAGAAAAAAATCTAAAGCATACACGAATAGTAAACCATAGTGTTTTATTACACAAATGATATGATAGTTGGAGATTATGCTGCATTCAGTACATTTTACTCCATTCTGCATAGATTAACATTGTGCTATCTTCCAATGTATAGAGTAAGACATAAACTTAGCTTCTTTCAGGCAGCATTGTAAAGTACAGAAGGTGGATGTTGCCTGTGTTAGGATTTGGAAGAAAGTGATAGTAACATGGCCCAGTTGCAAAAACAGAAGTGGTACTGCCCTCAACAAAGGTTGACAAATTGTACATTTGAATTGATGAGCTGTATCTTCTAGGAGGTTACTGTTTCTTTTTCTCAACTAGTTTAATAGTGTCTCACCATTCCAATTGCATCTAATGGCCTCTAAGCATTTCTTTTCTCCTGTAGCTTTATTTATTTATTTAAAGATTCTTTTCTGCTTTTGCAAATTATAGGATTGCCCTTATTTGCTTGTATATTCTTATACATATACTTTCATTTTACATAAATGGAACTATGCCTAAATATTTGAAAAAGAACAAATGTGTAAGATGTTGACATGTGATAGATTCTTTTTCAGGTTGTAACTAGTTAGTAAATGAGCCAATCACTCCTTTCCAGGTTCTGCCATCATCTATACCCCCAAACTTTTTAATAACTTTCAACTTATTTCACATTCCTTGGCAGCTATGAGTATGCTTTTCCTAGTTAGCATGGGAACCTTGCTCTTCCTTTCTCAGGATTTTTTAACTTCTAAAAACAAAGATATGGATGATGAAGTTTTACTTAAATAAAAACAGCACCAAGAAAATAATTTTAAAGGAACGGCAATAACTAATGGCTCTTACATTCATGACATGATTACCCATGGTTAACAACCATGATTTATACAATCCATTTTGTTTTATAAGAATAAATTGATCACACAGCTTGGTTCACATTAAAATAGATTAAAATGTAGCTGTTAAATTGAAGGACAGGAGATTATGCAAACAAAAGTGTTAACATACATTAATCTTCTTTATGACATTAAAAAAATCAAATAATTAAACTGGCCTTTCAATGTAATTCTATATTTAAAGCAGCAGCAAATTTAGTAACTCGGGACCCATGGCAAGTCTTCACCAGGCCAGAGTGGAATGGATTTAAAGCAGGAATCCAATTGGGCCTCTATCAATGGCTCAAATAAAGTAAACAAAAATCCAGAAACAAGTTGTTTGCCAAGGCAGGGAGATCAAAGAGAAGAGGGTTGGTAGAACTGTGCAAGAAAGGAGAGTGTGTGTGTGTTCCAAAGAGTAACTAAAGAATTGGGAATGGGGGGGGGGGGCAAACAACCAGCAGAAGTAATTGGGGAAAAAGTAGTTTGTTGATTTCTTCTGAATAAAGGGATACTTCATTCTAGGTCGATGTTTGATGGTCAAAGGCTCAAGGTTTTTGGTAAACAACTGATAAGAAAGTAAGGTATTCTGTTGAGCAGTGCGTCCAATAGCAAGGACACCTATAGAATAGCACAATGGAAGCTGGTATTTTCCAGATATACAGCAGCAAAAATTACGGCTAGTTTGTTCCTTCTGAATTTACTTTCTATGTGACATGTGGAATTTCAATTCCCAAATAGATATATATAAATCCCACCTTCCCATTTTTGAGTATACATGTTTATTTAGTCAATATTTTATCCTGCCTTTTTACTTTATAAGTAAGCCAAGGAGTGGACATACCTAATATTTCTTCCTAGTTTCTCCACAATGACACTGTGATTAGATACCACTTACAATATTTGTTCATAATGCAAGAAAACATTTTAAAAATAAAAAAACAAGCACATTTCCATGTCAAAATGTTGGCACAGCCCTCAATATTTTACCACAAAGGATAAAATATAAGGCTATTCTGTGGGTGAGCATTTTGAAGTTTTGAGCCTTTTTAAATCTGTAAACTAACTAGATTTGACGCTCCCCTCCCTTTCCAGGTATTTTTTATTGAAGAATCAAGAAGCCTGTCAGAATAGGTGGAGACACGTATTAAGCGAATTTTTGACTTTTGAACTATTGAAATTTGTATTTTGAATATTTCAAAATACATTTTTGAATTGTATTGTGGGTACATCAGGAATTGGTGATAGTAAATGAGATACTTGTAAAATAATTTCTCCAAGTCCGTTTAGAAACACTGGGCTTTTCATTTAAGTAGGTATATACAGCCTAAAGATGAGTTTTTTAGAGTTTTAGAGTTTTATTTGGCATTTATAGGCCGCCCTTTTCCCTGAGGGGACTCAGGGCGGCTTACAACTCGTGAAGATGTTAGACTTTTATCTCCAATTCTTTTCAAATAAGATTAGGTGCCCTAAATTTTCATCGGAAAGTGACGGGTTTTATACGCATTACCTGTAGAACAATGCCACCCATCTAATGGCATGTATCAACTGCCTTGTTCATTGCGATCATTATTCTTTCGCCCAGGGTTATGCCAAGGCCGAGCAGCCATCGGTGGGAATCGCGCGACCAGTCATTAATAATGTATCCAGGACGGGGGAAGGGCGGGAAACACGAAGCATTGGAGCGAGGAGGGGACCAGCCACTCCAGCCGACTCCTTTGCCCGCAACATTCAGCGCAAAACTCCGCCCTTCCAACTAAAGGATTGAGAGGGCAGTATTTTAATTTAGGAGAGTGGGCCGCCTCATTGGTCGGGGAAGAACAGGCGGGGCGAATTCTGTCCAATAGAAGCGAGTGAAGGAGTGAAGGGTAGGGCTTCAACCTGAATGACAGCTCGGGAGATAAACAAGTCCCTGCGCGAGACTTCTCCATTAGCCGAGCTCCGTAGCCCAGTTTTTCCCTCCAGAAGGCGGCAGCTGGTGGCGGGCCAAGGGAATAAACTCGTATCCCGGTTTCTCTACTGAGCCATCCGCGACTCGTTCACAACGTGAAGAGTCAGCAACTTCCCAGCACCCACTCAGCAATAATCGAGGGAGCGCGCCACAACGCGCAGGCGCTTGCTAGCTAAGGTACTGCAAGAGACTCTGGGCCTTGTAGTTCCGGCATTCCCAGTCTTCCCCAAGCGCCTGCGAATTCGCGCCTCCATCACTACTACCTGACCCAGAAGCCCTTGCGACTCTAACTCTTGGAAGCCGTGGTTGAAGCGGGTGGCGGCTGAGGGGACTCCCCCCAATCTCCCCCCCCCAAAAAAACCCAAAACAAGGAAATGGTGCCCAGTATGGTAGCCTCGTGCCCTTGCGCTTGAACACTGCCGGTCCCGCCGCCGCCGCCTTCCCCGTTGTCCACCTCCCTCTCTTCCTTCTCTAGTCGCTCCTTCCATGGGTGAAAGACATGGACTACGAGTTCAAATCCAAGCTGGCGGCCGAGCGCGAGCGGGTGGAGGATCTATTCGAGTACGAGGGCTGCAAAGTCGGGCGAGGCACCTACGGGCACGTCTACAAAGCGCGGCGCAAGGACGGGTAAGAAGAAACCGCCAGGCGGGGAGCGGGAAGAGCGCGGCGGCGGCCCGGGGGAGCCGAGGTTAGGAGGCGTCGGTCCGCGGCGACTGAACTTTCAAGCCCTGCTCCCTTCCGCGGCGCCGTCCCAGCAGCGGGGCTTAATATTCCCGCACCCGTCGGGTTGGGGCGGCTGGGGGGTTGGAGGGCAGGGCAGCTAACTGCAGGGAGAGCCTTTGGTGGGCGGGTCTAAGGGTCACCGTAGGCGGGGCCAGTGGTGGGCGGAGCCAGAGTCCAGAAAACTCCCGACAGCGTGAGGTGCCTACGGGACGGATTGATCGTGCCGGGATTTGAACCCTCGGAATAGCAAAAACATCTTTGGTGTGTTGACGCTTTTCTGTGTCACTCGAATCCCATGCAGGGAAAAAAGGTCAAAGGCTGTCCCATTGAAATTGAAATTATATCTTTGTTTGAAAAAAAAAGAAATTGCTTAGCACAGCGATTTCTGCCGTGTAAGGAAAAGGAGCCGCCGGTTGGATGAAATTGATGCAAGCAAGTCATTTCTTCTGCTTTCCTTCTTTTCTTTCAACAAGAAACTAAGATCGAGAGTCATAAGTGAGTTTCCCTAGCTAGAAAGCGGACAGGTCAGCTTCTAGGGAAGGAAAAAACTTTTGCTTTTCCGTTTGAGTATAAGTCATGGGTACTTTTTTCTCCCTGCATTATCACAGCACCGAAGATTGGTTCCACAACGCTACCTAAACTTTTTGCTTGAACATACAGTTTGATCCAAATGCTTGCTGTGTATGAACAACACAACATAGAGAGCAGACTACCATAGTCCTAGATGCTGGGGCATTTTATCTTCTCATTTATTCTCTTTTGGCAACTCTTGAGTGCATTCAACTTAGTTCACCAACTTGTTTCTTGCTATATACTTTCTGGGGGGGGGGGAATAAAGTGAGGAAAGATAATTTGTTTAGTGCAAGATCAGCTGCTGCCTCTATACAGTTGTTTGCCTTCTGTTTTTCCTTTTCCCAAGAATGGAAGGGATTGCATGGTTGCTGCTGTCTCCTCATTCTTTGCAATGAACATATGCATCCTTGTCACTGGTAGTGCAGCAGGAAGGATTAGGCATAGTGGGATCATCAAAAAGAAAGACTTGGGTATAAGAAAAAAAATGCCTGTATGGTTCTTCTGTTTCATTCTGTGGTTTGAAGAAGTATGCTAATTGGATCCAGTCCCCACTCAGAATAGGGGTGGAATAAGATGAAGCATCTACTCCCTGAAATCTCTTACCCTATACAGTAGTGGGCTCTTAGAAGCAGGAGCAGTTTACTGGGGCAGCTTGAAACCTTCCCTGCTGGCCATTGATTTTGCTTGTGGGAAGCGAGCAAATACCTATTACATGATGTGGCCATAATCATGACCCAGACACCCAAATGCCTAGATTGGGATCATTTGACAATGGGGATGCTGTGACACCCGTAACTTACAGAACTGGTTGTAAGTTATTTTTTTCAGTGGCATTGTAACTTTGAACATTCAATGAATGGATGGAAGTAAATTGAGGACTATTGGTACTGCATCACCATCTAGAAAAGACAGGAATGGTTGCTTGTATTTTTTTTGATTAATATCCCTGTGGGCAGAGAAATGCAAGAGCAAAATGGCCAAACTTAGATGCATTAAAGAAGAAGATTCCAAAGATCTTGGGGCAGGATATCTCTATTTCTACTACTATTTATTATTTTAATGGCATGCTTCACAAATGAGCTGCTTTTGGTTCATTATACAGGTAGGATTAATCACCCTTTTGAAAATCAGGACTGTAAAGTAGAAGAGGAAAGGAGGATGCATGTAGTAATCTTTCTGCCCCGTTAGCAATTAAATTACACAGGAAATATGTCTCTCTGAAAGACATAAATGAAAAATGTATGAGAAATAGAAAAAGGAAAAAGTGAGAAAAATAATCAGGATTGAGGATTCCATAATAATTTATAGCCACCTTAAAATTGCTTCTGTACCCTAGAGCAGAGGTTCCTAAACTTTTTGCAATCACACCTCACTTTAGTGTCAACTTACACAGCTGTTCTAAAATTCTAAACACCAAAATGAATACAAATGTACAAAGAAAACAATACCATGAAAGTATGCAATATAACTAAAAATGCTTCTCNCAAGTTAGCTTTATCACTCTTTATTCCTTCCCTACAGATAAACTTTTAATTTGTATTTAATGCCTCTAGGATATACATTTTTCTTAAATGTTTTCATCGTAATATTTTAGCGTCATGCAATCCCCACTTTCTCTTGAAGCTATGGAGTTTTTTCCTGTCTCAAAGTGATTGATGAATCCTGTGCTGGGTGTTGTAACCTTTTCTTGTGTTAAATGGCAAAGATTTTGAAATACCTCCTTCAATGAAGATTATTTCCATCATACTATAAGGATATGCCCAGATATTAATGAAAAGCATTTTTTTAAAATAAGTATTTGTGTTTACTTTCAAAAGCACAAATCAGATTGTTCATGATGATTTTGTGCAGTGTGTGAATCAGCAGTGCTAGGCTGGATAACAAATAATAGTTGTGGTTTTCCACTGAGTTGAAGGTGGTTCAAAAGAAAGGTTCTCATCCTATTTCTGCTTCTGTAAGCATTTAATTTTAAAAGTTATAGTTGTAAAATGTGCGTAACCAGAATTAACTGTCAGACGAAAGAGCAGACTTAGTGTATGCCATAGAATACAAAGTGTTTTTCAAATGGCTTTCACTTTTTTAAGATTGACTATTTCCAACTTAGGATATATCAGAAGAAGAGAACCATGTTTGCTTATTTGTTCCCTTGACAACTTTTCAACTACTTAAGAGGATTCAGTTTGGCAATGATCTTGATTCCAGATAGTGTGTCTGCTTATTAAAGACTGGCTCCATGAGTATCTAGATACTAGGTACTGCTGAGTTCTGAGGTGTGAATCCTGTATATCTACATAAATTTCTGCCTTTTACTTCTGCTGTGTTCATAGATTCCAATGGGTTTCGTATATGGACTTCAAGCCTTGGAGGTAGCAAGATATTCAGCAGAAGGTAAAGAGGAGTGCTGCCTTCTGGCATCATAATGTGTGCCTGCGTGCGAGTGTGCACTGACATAGTACTGTGCAGTCCTTGAAGGTGAAAAATAAATACATGTATAACATTGGGATCCTGCTTAATGGCCAATCATGTCATTAGACTGCCTGTTTGAGCTGCTCATATAATCCATGAAATTAAGATGGCCCTTTCGTTGGTGTCTACTCTACCTCTGCATTCCATTCTACAAGGGTCCACTGGTAACAGTAGGAATAAAGGGGCAGAAATGAAGGGAGTAGGGGAAGACAGACATTTCTGATGTATTTTCACATGCATATATAATTGCCTGCTGCTTATTTCTGGGTGGATATTTATCTGAGGCATTCTGGAACCATATAACAAGTTAAACTAAAATCAAACATATGGTTTAGCATGATGCATGAAACCAGCCTAAATAAAAGCTGAAGTTCTGCACAATAAATATATGTTATATTGGTTATCTTACTCTGTGCGACTTAAGTTTGCATAATTTATTAGACTCTTTAATTCCTTACACTTTGTTAGCACTTAAATCTTTTTCTTAACTCGGAAGTGAGAAAATTTGTGTAATATTTAATTTCAAACCCTCTATTTATTGCAGTGTGAGATTTGATAGAGAATTTGGTGATAATCTCTTTTACATTATCCTTGAAGTCAGATATTTGAGACTTTTGCTTTACATAAACTCATCAGGAACAAATGGAAATAAATATTATTTTCCTCAGTGATAATGTTTTAGTTTCAACAGCTGCTATGGGTCTGCTTCTACTGCAGTGCCATATTTTTCGGAGTATAAGACACACCTTTTTCCCTCAAAAAAGACGGTGAAAATCTGGGTGCGTCTTATACACTGAATGCAGCATTTTTTGGCCTCCCGAAACCCTGCCCCTTTTTCACCAATGGCCATGTAAAGTTTTTAGGATGCTTCCAGAGTGTTCCTGGGGGTTGGGGAGGGCAGAAATGAGGGGAAAATGGGCCGTTTTTTGCTTGTTTTTTGCCCCCCCAGCCCCCAGGAGCACTCTACAAGCATCTTAAAGGCTATGCATGCCCTTTTACTTTGACAAAAATGGGCCCATTTT